GGAAGCTCTGGGCCTTGGCCCCCTCGTCTCTGAGGGAAAGCAGTCCTGGTCTGCCCTCGATCTTGATGGTGGTGAGAACCTTGCTGAGGAGAAGCACTGCTCCCCAAGCCGAAGGACTGAGGCCCTCCAGATCGGTCAAAGTCGTTTTAGTCAGCAGCTCGGGCTGGATGCCCCTGCGCGCTTCTGCCAGGGCCGTGTCTCGCAGCTCTTCTTCTGCGCGCAAGATGGTGCCCAGCAAAGACGCTTGCAGCGGGACGTTGCCGGATGCGAAGGCACCGGCCAGGCGCTGCCCTGTGGCGCGCATGGTCCATCGGCCGAGCTGCCCGTTGCAGAGCCAGCCAAAGGCTGTTTGGAGGAGCGGAACTGCCAGCTGCATGACGGCGACAAACTTGGACCCTCCCTCCAGAAAAACGTAGAGCAAGGCAAAGACTCCCTGCAGCCCGGCTTCCCAAAGCAGAAGCCTGATCTTGCCGGGAGTTGTTTGCTTGTAGAGCTCGTGCAAACATTTCTCCACTTTTGGCCAGCAGCACCCTCCACCCTCTGCAGCCTCAGGCTCGTCGTTCACTGGCTGCGCGCTGGCGAAGGGGAAGTAACTGCCCGACAGGTCTGCCACGCATTCAGTGTCACCAAGCAGCGTGTAGTGTACCCACGGCAGCCAAGCGAGGCTGGCAACTCCAGCCAGGCGCAACGCCCAGCTTTCCGACTTAATACATAGGGCCCCGAAGACCACATCCTTTAACGTATCGAAAGTATCTGCCATGAACGGCATGATCGCCGCCACTGTGCCCATGGCAAAGGTGTCGATCGGGAAGCGGCTCTCAAGCTCCAGGTGGCCCTAACGGCCTGCCAGAGCAGCCGCGTGCCCTGCAGGACGAACAGCACCAGGTAAACCTCATAGTCCAGGCCTGTCGCTTTCGACAGCCTGTTGGTACAAAGGCTCGCAAAGACCGCCACGACGGAAACCGAGTAGGTGCCAAGGAATGCTATCAACACATCTCGACTTTCCAGCGGACTGGCGCCCGAGGCGCTCCTTCCTGTCCTTTGGTACCCTGACGGGTCTACGCATCGGCCGCAGCAGCGTGTCATGATCGCCGTGCCGATGAGGCAAAGTAGCAGCCAGGCCATGATGTGTGCCGACACGAAGAAGCCCAGCCTTTGCCTTGCTTGCTGCGCAGACAGCTCGTGGATCTGGTAAGTGTGGGGGAGCCACACGGGGTTCTCTGCCAGCGCCGTCGGGGGCTGAGCCTTCAGAGCCAGGTGCCCTCCGACTTCGAAGTTGAGCGCAACGGTGCGGCCCTGCGTCGAGGCAGAAGCGTTTGCCACCGGGCGGAACTCCACGGCATCGGCCACGTCTTCCACCACATCTGGAAGGACCAAGGCACGAGCAGTCACCAGAAGCAACAGCAAAGGCACCACCATGGCTGTGGACACAAACAGGCTTAGGGCCTTACATGGCTGCCCTAAATCGCAACTGACAGCAACTTTGCAGGTGCAGTACCGTATATTAAACGGCATGGAAGCCCTTCGATGTGTAGCTCAACCTAAGTCCGACGCATGCTCCAGAAAATGTGATCGAGTACCATCCGTGCTGTCCGGGACAGAAGCGCCGACCTGCTGGCGAGGGTTACTGTTACGGCTTTAGCTGACCGCCTCGGGCGTCAGTGTCCCTGAGCGCTGAATGCACATTTTTTGCTGGCGAAAGCATCGGGCAGCCATTGGCGCCCTGTCGTTCTTCCAAATAAGTGGTTGTTTTCGCCCTGATCTCCCCGCGCAAGGCTAAACGACATCTTCCTCATCGTACTCCCAAAGCGCTACACAAACAGGCCCTAAACCCCGGATCCCAAACCCCAAAACCCTCAAGAAAGCCGTGAATCCTGAACCCATTCTTCTTGGCAACCTCTATCGGGCTCTATCGGGCCCCGAATCTCCAGCAAGACGCCGAAATCCAAATCTCCGAGATCTGCCCCAAACCCGCAACAACAAGCTGGAACGAGTGGGACTTGTGACTAGCGCACAGGCTCATAATAGACTTAGAAAGCTCCACAGCATGTGCAAAGAAAAGCTCTTGAACAAGGGATCCCTAAAGAAGGTATACGGCAGAATGCAATCAAGGGATGTCTCGGGGCTCTCTGTGGCTTTGCCTTCGTAGGGAGACGGACCACAACCGCGGAACCAAAATCCGAGACCTCTTCGAGGTGTCGGCACAGCTAAAGCTCTAAGTGGCTTCGAAGGCGACCAGAGGAAAGTGGGAAGCAATCCAACTACCTTGGATACTATAACTTCATTCCAGTCACTTGGGACGAATGTAGGCTGCCAGTAGAATGTACCACAAGTGCTGTCTTTGAAGAGTAGGAGACTTCGTAAATAGGGGCGCAAGTAAACATACAGAGTCATGCAAGTTACTTCCAGTGTACCACCTCTTCGAGTAACCATTGTCCGGAAGCAGGGATACCTGGTTACGGGTACATCAGGAGAATCTGGGGAAAGCCACAGCGCTGGGCTTCCTAGCTCACTAGCTCAGACATGCCCTGAACACAAAGAATCTGGACCTCTCCGCCTTCAAGGCGCCATTGGGAAAAAGAGCCCTTTGCGAGGGCTGGGCTTCTTGACCTCCCAGAGAACGAAAAAAACACGAGAAGCCATGACGACCAAAACAAAGGACATGACAGAATCGGAGGACCGAAGTTGCGAGGGACAAGTTAAATCCAAAGGTTTCGAATGCAGGGGGCGGGGCAGGGCCCCCCAGAATCGCACCCGAGCGACGCGCCACGTGACGATGGCCCAGAACGCGCTCACTTGGAGGCCTGCTGCTTCCCAGCTTGCTGGGCCCATTGGCCCTGTTTTCCCTGCTGGCCGTGCTGGCCTTGCTGGCCCTGTTGGCCCTGTTTTCCCTGCTGACCCTGGCCCTGCTGGCCGTGTTGACCCTGCTGGCCCTGCTGGCCCTGCTGGCCCTGCTGGCCCTGCTGGCCGTGCTGACCTTGCTGTCCCTGCTGGCCCTGTTGGACTGCCTGCAAGTCTGACGGTCCTCAGTTGACATGGCGGTCGGCGCAAGCGCTGCAACGCCTCCGCTAGGCCCCAAACCCCAAGACCCCCGAACCGGGCTTTGAGCTTACGGACCTTCAACTTTACCTTTATAGTACCCTAACTTACTAGGACTCCTATACAAGCAATAGGAGTACTATAAGTTTAAGCCCCCCATGCCCCAAGCCCTTGAAGCCCCAAAGCTCTTCAACCCCAGAGCCCGAGAAATTTCCAGCCGAGCGGCGGCAGGGCGGAGCGATGCGACGGAGCCTGGGTTTGGGAGTTCTTCGGGTGAGCTTTTGAGGTCGAAGGTTTTTAGAGGGCCTTGGCCTTACAGGGCTCATGGGGGGTGTATGGGGTTGAAGCTCAAGGGCATTTGTTTACGGATCTTGGGTTTACTGGAGTCACTTTAAAGCTCGTGGGCGACTAGCTATGGAGCCTGCAAGGGTTGCTGCTGCGGTCCTTGTAAAAACTCTTCGTGGTACGGTGAGCAGACTCTTGGTGGGATCTGGGGTGCAGGTCTCTATGAAGGCTTTCCTTAACGGCTGCGAGTCATGAAAGCTACTGGGCCCTCTACGGCTGAAACACTGGTGCTGTCCACGCAGCTTCTTCCATGCGTCTGCAGTCATGCCACGCTCCTGTTGTCGCAAGGGAGAAGGCTCTGTCCATGACATGCAGCGAAGGTTTGGGATTTCGGGTCTAGGGAGAGGGCCCCAGTTGTTGAGCAACCGCAGGGCACGAGAGAGCACAGCGCCTTAACTTCAAGCATCATTGAAACTGCCCCTCAAAAGCCTGCACACCTCGAACTGCACTACACTCTTAGAAGGTGAACCCCAGAGCGTGTGACCCTAAGCCACCCTAAACGAACCCTGCACCCCGAAACTCCGACCTCACACCCTCGAACCGCAGACCCCAGACCGTCTCAGAGACTCTCAAGTCCAAGCGCAGACCTCATAGGGGCCCGAAGGCCCCTCCGACAGCTCCTATGAACCAGTCGAACCCGATAGAAGCGATTGAAACCTAGGAAACCCTTAAAGAAAGCCCTCATAAAAAAAAAAAAAAAAAAAAACTACACAAACTCTTCGAGCCCTGGCAGGCGGTGCCTTCAGCACACAGACCGGATCACTGGACTCCAGATTGGGCACGCGGCCATCGGTCTCCTTGAACCACCTCAGGAGCTTCAGCTGCGGGTGTAGAGCCTGAGGTTAGCATTTGGGGCTTGGCGTTGACACGCCAAAAGATTGGAATGTAAGGGCGTTACTAATCAGAAGTGCATAGGAACTGTTGCTAAGTATTCAAGCCCTGTACTGGTGTGCAGCTCACATTGAGGTTACGAATTCCATAGGATTGAAGAAGGTGAAAGGTCTCATGGATCCCATTGGACGAGTCTCAAGCTTCGCCGTCTGCAAAAGTCTCAGCAACTCAGCTTTAGGGCTTACTGGTGCAGTTAAGCCTTTCAAGGACGGTTGGAGACTCAACGATTCGGTTCCCACGAAAGCTCCCCCAAGTTGCAGGCCCTCATATGTCGGCAACCCCCCCCCTGTTCAAATCCTTTGACTCATCTCTCCTGATCTCTATTAGATCAACATCCCTCAAACAAAACATTCACCTGTAGACCCTGCTGCATGCAAGCCGAGCGACCTGTCCATGTCGTCCTTGACCAAGGACTTGGCATCAATGCAGGAGGTCGGCATGTCACCCTGCCAGGTTGGGCGGTAGCCGCAACGACGGTAACCAAGCGACTCTGATGGAATGCTATTGCTATTTCTCCTTAAGTTAACGGTGAACGTAAAGCCTACACCCGAAACGCATGGCTTCCTTTTGCTCTTTTTGTTCTGGTCCGTAGAACCCCGTGAATACCTACCTACTATACACACTCTACACACCAAGTGGGGCACATTTCAAGGATTCTATAAGAAATCTGTAAGCCTTCGGAGCCCTCGAACCCCACAAGTCTGAACCTGCCAAAATGGAAAACACCACCCAAATGAAAGCCTCGACACGACAGCCCTGGCAAACCCGTTCCCTGGACTGCCGGATTCGCAGGACAGCAGCTCTCGGGCGGGAGTCCGTAAGCAATGCACGGGCCTCAATTATTGGAATGAGGCTTCGGGGTACATTCGCACATTCCACTAAGTTATATGAAGCCTATCAGACCGGTCCATTGAGTAGGCTATCAACAGAAACATTGGAAACCCTAGATGGGGGGCTGTCCCAAGTATAGCCTTATTTGTAACCGACTAACTCAATCCCTTGAAGTAGGAAGTAGGGTGGAGGACTCGGGTTCAGGGAGTGGACTTTAAGACGCTAAGGTTATAGGGCTCATTGAGAGTCGCTGGGAGTTTAAAATGCATCCCAGGTCCCCAACCGGTCCTCCTGGGCCAGGTGCAAAACCGAGCCATTGAAGGCGGTCCTGTCTACGATTGCGGGGCTCGAGCGTTTGGGGTTCCATAAGGGTTTCAAGGCTTTGGCTTTTGGAGTTCGGGACGCAGGGCTTCGGGCCTAGAGTCCAGTGATCTTAGGGGAAAATGGGGAGCATGCGCTTAGAAACTTGAACCCGGAAACCCCAACCATCTCCACAAGCCCCGTGCCAAACCGATGCAACACAGCCACAGATGCAGACAAGCTGCATCTTGAAAGGCAAAGTGCAGCCGTTGGCAATGTGGTCATTGGCCAGGAGGCGCACGATGCCAACACCCTGGTCACGGTGCCACTGACGAAGAGGATCCCTCGACATACCAATAGTCAGGTTCCATATCATCATCAGCACAGTCATCATCCTCAAACCCTGACACCCTGAAACCCAAAACCTCAAGTTCTTCCGCTGCTCTCCCTCACAGATACCGGTCACGATGGGGATATTTGGCAGTTCTCACGCCTTTCCCTAAACCCGAAGACCAATCAGGACTGCGATGGAGCGACGAAGGCTCTTATGATACAATACGCGGCCCTCCGCATGTAAAACATGAGGGTTTTGATAGGGTGATCCAGACCTGCCAGACCCCTACTAAGGATTCCGTGATATGGGGATTACGGCTGCTGCAAGGCCCTAAAGAAGCGGGCTCTGCTCGCGTCAGCTCCACCAGACTCTCTCGGGACCCGGCGATCGAGGAGTTCACCGCCGAGGGGTTGCCTCGGCAGGCACCCAGATACCTAAATGCCCCCAACAATCCCCACGTAACCACGACGGAAGAAAAAAATAGGGCCCGGAAGGGTGCTGGTACGGCTTTGTAGAGGTCCACTCGCAAGGATCTGCATCAGCTTGGGGTGAGAGAAAAGGTGAAGCGGAGGTTGAAAAAGTATGCAAAGTAATGGAACGATATGGGAAAGCGAAACAACCTGTAACCTTTCCCCTAAACCCTACCGCGTCCAGCCAAAAAAAACAAAACACTGAATAGCCCAGACCTACAGTGCCAACCAAGCCGCTGTGGCTGCGCTTCGGGCAATACTTCCAAAGGCTCTGGTTCACACGGTGGAAGTCGTTGCCTTGATCACACACGCAATGCAGCATGGGGCCCCGACACCACGCCAGAATTATCTGGGCTTACATCGCAAGTTCCAATGGAGCTCATGATATTCCACTCGTCGACAGCTAGATATGCCAGCCTTCTCAACAACTCAAACGATACCTCTCTGCATGGGCAGAGGGACCTTGAGCAATTGCCTACATCGATGCCGAGAGAGTATCTCCAAAGCAGCCCAAACCCTAAAACCCCAAACCTCAAAACGACCGCTGGACCTCACTTTCAAGCACAGCGGCCGGTGACGTTCATGGTCAGGTTGAGCATCAGGTACTCCTGAGCTACTTAAAGGATCATGGGACTTAGTAAGTAGGGTTATAACTAAGGTAACTACACTTATAACCCCAGTTTGGGGCTGTAGAACCTTGCTTACTGAGTCCCATGATCCTCTAGGGTCTAGGGCTCCAGGGTGTACGAGCACATGGCCTCAGGGAATGAAAGCTGAGGCTTCCAGTTTGCATCCGAAATACCAAACCCCTAGCCCAAGGGCTTCAGCTACTGAGTTACAGGCATAAACTATTCAAGTAGCTGGAGCCCCATACAGTCATGCGAAGGACCATCCCAAAAGTCTTAAGGTCTCATGGCGAACACGTAGGGCTCCATGAAGGCATCGAGACTTTCCCAGAAGCCTCTCCCTAAACCCTAAACCCTAAACACTAAGCCCTGATCCCAAAGCCGTAAACCCTAAACCGTAACGCCACACGCCCAGAAATCCCAAACCCAACGTCACAATCCTTGCACCGTGTAGTACAGCAAACCATCCAGCATAAAGGGTCCGCTTCGCGGTTCCAAAAAAAATGTCACTCTACCAGTAAGGGACCAAGGCTAACTGGCCCCTCAGTCCTTAACTATCCATGTCCGGGGGAGGGTATCTTGCTTGCATGCAGGCAAGACGCGTATTGGTCCTGGCTGTTGGTCAAGAAGTGGTCGTAGGAGGCGCCTGTTTCAACGACCCAGATAATTATCAGAACAAGCGACTCAAGCGACTCACAAAGCTGAGCATCCAATTCTCACCATCACCACCCTGAGCATCCAGATTACCACCGTCGTCACCATCATGCTAGTGCTGCTGCTCCGAGGACTGATCTGACGACCTGCGAATCATCACAGCAATAGTCACCATGACATGGTTAAAAATGACTAAGTTATAAGGAATTTCCATTATGAAGGCCTTGGCCAAAGGGCCTCTCCGTTTGAAGAATCCCGACAAAACCTACAAGCTCAAAGCCCTGAGCCCTAAGCCCGATATCCCAACAGAAACAGAACCCCTCATGGAACCCTTGCGGAACCGTTTCCATACACAACGAGGCTCAGCGTTGGCATCGGGTTTCGGGCTCAAGATTAAGACAGCCCCGCGATTTTCGTTGCCTTACTGTGGAGGGTTCAGCGGTGTAGGACTACTCAAGGTCGTGGGTTTAGAAGGTTAATGTTCCAGATTTAGGCTGCGGCACACAGCTGTGGGAACCAATGGCTGCAGGCTTTAAGACTAAGCTTCCACGGAAAGCCGTGGCTTGAAGATACTTTGGGTATCGTGTCAAGGACTAGAACACTTCGAAGCGCCCCTTTTTGTGAAGAATCTACATTGTCCTGCATTAATCTCACAAACCCTCGCACTTCTCGCTTTTCGGAATGACGTTGCCAAGATTGCGCAGTTGGAACTGACATCCCTCGCATACTCGGAAACAGCTCCAGGCAGCACTTTGCGGAACATGTGGGTTCAGCTGAAACCCGAAATTTGGGCCCTAAAGCTTGAAACCCCTCTCCGCCCTTCAACACCCGCCTTTGACGGAGCAGTGCAGAGGGCCTGCCTGGACACATCATGCAGGGCTGTGGGTATTGTATAGTCACAAGGGCACCACCGTTCTGAGAGGTGGACAGGACTCATGTTCTGTCAAGGGCGCAGCGGAAGTACATAAACTTCTTGGCAGCTCAATGTGAGCGAGGTTTTGATTATGTAAGGTCTAGGTTGAGTTGAGCGTTTGGGTTCAAGGTCCTCAGCATTTGGTCCTGGGGGAGCTGGGGGCCTTGAATTTTAGGGGCTCGGTAGGGGTCTGGATGAGGGCGAGGGCAGTCGCGGTTTTGGGCCCTGTGGCTTCACCTGTATAGGCTTTGGGGTCTTAGGTCCCTGGGGGGGGGGGTTGGGCTTTGAAGTTTCGGCCCTTGGCTCTTCAGGGGGGGGCTCTCCGGTGGGCCTACGTAGGGCCTAGGTCCGCCTAGGTCCCAAACAAGCAGCTAGGGCCTACTACTATTACTATTATTATTATTACTACTATTATTATTACTATTATTACTTCTATTACTACTATTATTATTATTACTGGAGTATCGAAAAAAAGAAGCCCCCAACCACACCCTCAAGAACCCTGGAGCCCTAAACCGCACCTAAAGGTCGAACCCTCAAACTGGCAACAACTGCAAACGCCCTCCATGAACCGGCAGCCCCAACCCCCGGTACAGATGCCTTAGTGCTAAGAACAAAGTCTTTGGGCAAGCGAACAGTCTGCAGATTTAACAAGGAGCCATAAGAAGCGGCATTTGTAGTCCTTCCGACCCCTATACGAAACCTGGGCTGGGCCCCCTCTCGCTGGGGAGACGGTCCTTGGTCCCGCAGAGGTTCTGGAAGGCGGCCTTGACGCGATGCAGCAAACTCCTTGGAGCTGGTGGGGGGGCGTTGGTGACTTTCGGCTCCCAGGCGTCCTTTGGAGTTTGGGGCCCTAGCTGGGGTTTCTGCTTACAGTCCTGACAAAAGCCTTTTGAGCTTTAGTTTTAACGGGGGCTTCAGGGGTTCGGGCTTTTTGTTCAGACCTAAACCCTGGTTAAACACTAAACCGGCGTGGTCTGGTTATGGGGAAATGGTCTGAAACGGGTTTGTCATTACGTCTCACCACACTTCTTTAGCTTCGTCCTGCGATCAGTACCGCGAATTGTTTACGATTGCTACTATTGCCCATGATGCACGATGATACTGCGATTACTAGTCTCAACAGATCAACATTTCCGATAGTCTTGTGCATTGGTGCTCCGCAGAACACCGACGCATCTGACCCAGCTTTCAAACCTCAAGCCATGGACTCACACACCCTGCTTCGATTGATCCGGACGCTGTGCCGCAGCAGTAAGTTGCCCGTTTGAACGACCCTTCGGTACAAACAAAGCCCAGCTCAGGCTTGAGGCCGTCGGATTCACGGGGCTGAATATGAATGGGATGCAAATCTCTTGCCGCCACAGGTGCTCAGCAGAGAAGAAAGCACCAGGACCCTGCGTAATGAACCTTGGGGAGCAATGATGCAACCCGAAACCAAGACCCTAAACCCTGCACCCCGCGGCCCGTGGTGTCAGGGATAAGGCCTCCGTTCCCGTACTTTGCAAAGCATGTGAACAGCTAGCTATTCCTTGGCAGTTTTTCCCGAAGTACAACAGGCCTAGAGAATGTTGAAAACCACCCCCCAAGCATTTGCTTGGATGAGGATGCCAACAAGGGTCGCACTAGAACAACTCCCATGTCGGGGCCGGATGCAATGTGGGCATTTAAATCGAAGAGAACTCCGCCAACCGAATAAAAATCCTGTGCGGACAGTGTGCGATCCCACACAAGTTCTGGAAACGCCCATGTTGTGGTGCGAGGGTTGAAACAAAGAGCACACATCCTCCGAGTGGAAAGATTCACGATCAGATGACAGTACTACAAGGGCCTAAGCGCAACGAGAGTTGGGCTTTATCGATGTGTCAACGAAATTCGTCGGGGCTTTAATACAAGGGCCCAAATGACAGCGGAGCAAGCCCTTAGGCTATGTTTTCCAGACTTGTAAAGGGGCTCCAAAAGGAGGAACACTACTCAGTCTTGTCGCTGCTGTGAGTCTATGGACCCCGTCATCAACACTAAACTCTACAGCCTGAACCTTTAAACCCCAGCAAGCTGTTAAACCTACAACAACACAGGGGCGCACACACACCCACACACACTCTTGCAGACCAGTCATCCTTACCTAGATGGATGCTGTTTGTGCTAGTCTTTTGCACATCATTTCTGGTCATTGGGGGGCCCACTGGCTAATTCGAACGCAGGTACACACCCAAGCGTGCTTGAGTGCTTCCACCACAGTTCTTAGCTTCGTTGGCACGGCTCGAACTGTGCCCCCTGCATGTGAAGTGTGACTTCATAGGGCCTAAACCCTTGGAAACAGGAGTCTTACACATACACATACGCACACGTACGCACACACACACACACCCACACACTCACACACACACACACACTAACCGCCCTAACTTCTAAGCCCAGACCCTGAAATTCCGAAAGGCACGAAACCGTGCACACCCCTGCAACTGAAAACCCACGCTACATCCCAAAACCATAAACCCGAAAGCACGGAATCCTCGACACCTGAAAGCACGGTGTGGCCAGGAAGCTCCAGCAGTGGCATGGGATTGTTCGCGGTGTCCAGCATGTAGGACCTCGCGTCTCACCACGCAGCCAGTTCAATGGGGCTTACTCTGGTTGAGAGTTTAAGGTTTGGGGGGTTTTGCCGGAGGGATCCGTCCCCGCATGGTTGAAAAATCTGGCTTGCAATCACTTATCCTTCGAGCCGAATATGCGCTAGACTCAGACCCAGCCGCCGCATTCCGCACGACCCGAAGGGGAGCGAAAGCATGCCCAAAATCTTGAGCTTTAGAGACTTGAAAGTGACAACCCTAAACCCCGACAGGTTTGCAGCCTGAAACCCTGGACGCTGAGCACCCCGAAGCCTCGTCAGTCGTGCCAATTGAAGCTGTGGCTGTGCTTTGGATGCCCAACGGTTTGGGGGTGCGACCCGTCCCCGGTCAAGCTATCATGACAGCATGCGTTCAGCCCTGTGCCCCAAACTCTGACCTGGCCCCACCCACCTGCCCACCTCGGTCTCAACCCGAAACCCTAGCACCCAAAAGGGACCTCAATCCCAGAAAAGCTAATACCCCCCACGCACTTTAGACGACCCGAAACCCATGGCGCCTGTGGTACTCGCCGTAGAGGGCCCGGAGCCAGGCGTTGTAGTCGCGCTGCATGATGAACACCCTCACGTTCCAGCCCTTCCTGGGGTTTCGGGTTTAGGGTTTAGGGTTTAGGGTTTAGGGCGCTGCTTTCAGGTGTAACGCCCCCAAAGGATCCGAAACCGCTCTGTAGCCCCTAGACTTCAGCCTAAGCCCCTAAATTCAGACGGCTCTAAGGCTACGCCCTGTAGCTTGTAAAACCCTAGCCCCCAAAAGGCAGGTGACAACCGAAGCCAACCTAAACTTCCTGGACCCTAAACCCTGAAGCCTGGAAGCCCTAAACCGTCAGGGCACCCATGAAGCATCTCACGCTGGTGGTTGAGTCCAAGTGGCAGCTGTTGAAGGAAGAGCTTCCAGACCTCACGGGACTGCTTGCAGGGTTTCTGGGGTTTACGCCTCACCCGTCTAGGGTCTATGGGTTTCAGGGTTTCGGGCTCTGGAGTTTTGGTGCTTGGGGCTCTTTGGTTTTCTAGCTTCAGGCTTTTGGGCTTCAAGGTTTGGAGTCTAAGGCATCAGGGGCTCAGAAGTGCCTGGAGCCCGACCCAAGTTCTGGTACCTGAATGGCCGAGAGAGGCTGCTCCAAATGTCGATGGAGCTCTTGAAAACTTGTTGTTCAGCACAGCTTCAGCCTCCTGTCATAAAGACAACAAATCCAGAACTCCTAAATCCTACTGTCTAAACCCTCAAACCCCATCGCCAACAAAAATTAACTATGAATCCTACACCCTGTACCGATAACCGCACATCCCCTACCCCAAGCCTAAACTCCAAAAAATCTGCAACCTGATGTGCAAGGGCCTTACCTTAAAGAAAGGTTTGGGGGGGTATCTTGTACTTCGGATTGAGAACCCAAAGGCAACATCGGACCTGGCCAAGAAACGGGCAAGGCAGCCTCTGTGAAGAGCTCGGAAGAGATCCTCGGGAACTCTTTGGACGCTGGGAGTCGCAAACCCCGAGGCTGAGGGTTGCAAGGTGGATGCTTTGGGGCTGCGGTTTTCAGGGGTTGGGCTTTAGGATCTATGGAAAAGGGCTTTGAGATCTTGTGCGGCTGAGACCTGTAACCAATTCGGTGCTTACTTTTCACACATACACGACTATATACAGACATACATGTGTGTATACATATATATATATATATATATATACATGCAGGTACGCATTACACTTACAAGCACTTGACACCTTGAATCCTCAACCCTGTTGTGAATCACCCTCCCCCGTCCCCAATCCTCCCCCTGTCCGTCACCTATGCTGAGCTCGGGACACAGCCTTGCAAGGCTTTCCCTTGTGATGCCCTTCCTGCGTGTGATGAGGGCTTTGCTAGAGGTGTGGGGCATCAAGCAATCTTGGGTGTTGGCCCGTTTGGGATTGAGGGTGACACGTTGGGCGTTCCATCAGGAAGGTCTGACGAAGCGTGCCCAAAGTGCAAAGCCTAAGCTGGGAGCTTGGTGTAGGCTCTGGAGCTCCCGAGCCCAAAAAACTCAAAACGCTGTCAGCCTAAACCCCCAAGCAAACCTTCCTTCCTTCTTGAGAAAGCCCACCTCGCACTTCTGCAGCATGCCCCAGGTCTCGTTGAAGGTCGCCTCGTTGTGCCAGTCGTAGGCCTCCTGTGGTTTTGCGCTCCCTATAGGAGGGCTGAGGAAGCTTTGTTGGCTGAGGTTCCCACCAAGCTGCGTTTCTTGGCTTCTCATAGACTTTCTACTGGTCATGAACATGGCCCTGCATTGTGCAGAACCATGAACCCACACACAAAGCTTCGGAATTGAGCTGCGAACAAGAGCTGCTCATGGAGCAAGTTGTGCGCCGCACATCTCTTCACAAGGTGCTCGGACATATTGTCGCATCACATGCGGATTGACTTTGGAATTCTTCCGGGGACAAGCCATGATCACAAACGCGCGCACACACGCAGAGACAAGTCTGATTGTGACAGACTCCACCATCGTGCGTCCCTGTATGCAGGACCCAGACGTGATACTTCCAAAGGAAAAGGTACCAAAGTCGGAAAGTCTCCGGGCTCTGACGCCCACCTGCGCACCTCCTTTTCAACCACGCTCGCCTAAGCCCACTTAAAGCAGTCTACCCATGTACCTTCCAGCGTCCCAGAACGGACCTGCAGGAAGCAAACCTGAAGCTCGCAGCACGACACCTTTACTAGATCCCGAACTTCCCCTTACGAAAGCCAAAGAAGTTCCTGAAAACAAAAAGCTGGTGCACGCCGGTCCCTGAAGCGGGGCACGGGGTTCTTCGCCAACTCGGAGAGGTGCACCAGGAAGTTGTGGTTCGCGATCGCTTCTGAGCTTCTGGGAGACTTCAGGGTTCAGGGTTTTAAGGGGTTTTTCAAGGGTTTTAGGGCTTACTGCTTTTAAGGGTTTTTTTAAGGGTTTTAGGGCTTACTGCTTTGAAGGGGTTTTTTAAGGGTTTTAGGGCTTACTGCTTTTAAGGGTTGTAGATGGTTTACTTTGGCCATGGGTGCTGGAAGACTTTGTCAGAGTTCTTTGAGGCTGAAGAGCTTCACTGGCTCAGAGCTGGCCGCAAGGGCTCAGGTCAGATTTCTCACGAGTTTCAAGGAGAAGGGCTCGTCTGTGAGATTTTGATACCCTAGAACCCTGAGCCTACAACTCCAAATCCTGGCGAACCCTGCAGTAAACCCGAAGCATCTCGAACTGGCCCAAGCCCAGCTGAGCAAAGTGAGACCCAGGCTTCCCTGTCTGGAGGGCTTGCAGGGTTCTACGTACGGCTCATGAAGGCTTTACAAGGGGTCACTGCAGCGGTGCAAACTGCTAACTTCCACTGGTAAATCCGAAAACGGTAGACCTAACATCCGTGAACACAACCAAGACTATCCTCCAAAGCCGAGTTCGGTGATGATTTCAGTGAGGCTGCACTAGGACGCCTGCATAGGAACCGAACACAACATCTCAACACCCTAGGTGGTCATCTAGGCCCCTGCTTGAACGGTTCTTGGGCTATAACCCCACCTACTCCTAATTGCCGGCGACCCTCTCAGTCATCCTGCAACCCGTCCAAAACTCCATATTCCAAACCCAAAGCCTTAATCGTACATGATACATACGCCCGAATCGAAGCTACCCCGTGAACAAAGCCCTCGAAGCAGAGCCAGGACACTCTCCTTCTTGCCTCAGTTCTTGAACTTGAGTTTCGCTTGCGGCGGAGACAGGGGAATATGCAAAAAATGCCGGCACGCAGTTCGGGGTTTAGAATTGCATGTTTGCGGTTTATGGCTGAGGGCTTCCGGTGTTAAACCAGGGTTGGGAGCCCTCAGGAAGACCAATACGAAGTCTTTAGGGTTTAGGGTTTAGGGTTTAGGGTTTAGGGTTTTTAGGGTCTGATAATGCCAAGTACCAGGACAAAACCCTTGCGAGAGCAAGACAAGTCCCCTGTGCATGTGACGATAATCTGTAATAACAAGCTCGGATCAATCATCTACTTTTGCTGGTGTTCCATAAACCTGAACAAAGTTGAATGGTCGTAGGTTCAGGCACTACAAAAGGAAAAGGGGGCTCGAGAGGCTTGCGAAGTCTTTCCAGCCAGGCTGCTGACCAGCGAAGTAATGCCGAAATGCTCGGCCCAGCTCTGGCACTTCTTGAGAGCAAACCTCGCTGGGGGAGGGGAGGGCCAGGCTCTCGGGAATGCTATGAGAACTTCCTATGCATCAGGGGTCGGGGTACAACTTGCAGGACGTAACGTGGGCTGTGCAGGTCCGAAGGTGTAAGGCTGCGTGTTTTTGGCTTCAAGGTTCTGGGCTCAGGGTTCAAAGTCTGTGCGAGGTCTTGGGGTTCAGTGCTTCTGCTTGGCAGAGTTTGTGGGGCGGCTCTAAACCCGAGACTCTGTAGGAATCTACCCGAAACCCTGAAGGCAAGCCGAAAGCGGATCACGTGCAAACTCGATCGACCTTAAACCCTCGAACCGCAAACCCATGGACGGACCCTGAAGTGATGAAACCTAACAAGTTCTTAACCCGAACCTCTCAACCCCAAAGGAGTCTTGCAGGAAGCTCAGGTTGTTAAGTGCAGTTGCTCTACGACATTTAAGGGTCCAGCTGGATTTCAGGGTCCGGTGTTTGGGTTTGGGGCTGATGGCTCCAGGGATTCACAGTTTTGGAGTCCCGGCTTTGGGGGTTTTGGGGCTTCGAAGGTTTAGGATGCAAGACCCTAAACCCTAAACCCTAAACCCTAAACCCTAAACCCTAAACCCTAAACCCTAAACCCTAAGCCCAAGACACGTTGGCTTCAGAGTTGAGTCGGGCCCCGGGCTTCGTGGTTAGGATCTGAAAAGAGCCTTCAGCTGAAGGCTCCTAGAAATCCTAGAAATCCTAGGGTTTAGGGTTTAGGGTTTAGGGTTTAGGGTTTAGGGTTTCGGGTCCTAAAATCCTAAAATCCTAAAATCCTAAA